AATTGTCTTTCAAAATCTCTTCCACATTTAAATCAGAATCATTGCTTCCTTCAAACAATCATTTTTAGTACCATCAATAGGCATTACTAGTGACATGCTTCTTAAATAACAATCTCTGGTTTTATTGTATTTTGTGAGGTTTTAAACTAGTGGGCTGCTCCCTTACTGCTCTCTTGAGAGTGGTAGAAGATTCAAGAGGACACTAGAAGGCAAGAGGCAGTAAGGTGTTGGAAGGCAAGTGGACAAAAACTTTATTTTGAAACAAACAAACAAAAAAAACACACACACACATACATATACATAAATATATTTAAAATGCATACATTAAAAGGAGGTGGTAATCTGAAAAGTTTCAGAAGAACAGTTTTAAACTATTTGTACACTTCTGAATTTCAACCTTTAGTGTATAAGACACACACTGGTTTTGAGACAGGTTTATAGAGAAAAATTTTATGCTGTGTGTTTTAAGCCAGAATATACAATATGTAGTTTATCTAATGTTAAATCATTTTATTAATTTTTTTCTTAAAAGAGGCAAAATTAGAATAATAATAATAGCTTGCTATTTGGATGCATTAAAACTTAATAAGTATAAAGAAGCTGTTGTGTATCAGAATTAACTTTGTGATTAATTTTACAGTTAATGGAATTTATTTTATTTAATTAAGTAAATTTTATGAATATACAAAAAAATTAAATGAATTTAATGAATTATTTAGTAGATAATATAATACAACATAAAAGAAGTTTGCTTAAAGAATAGCTTTTTAACTAACAAATAGTAATTACAGCTATAAAATAATATCTACAAAGTAAAACTTTGATAAACAGAATAGTTAAATTAAGAAAGAAGTAAAAACAACAAGCCTAAGAACTTGCAAAAAATTAAAGAATTAGCTTGAATTGTGTAATTATCATTTATTTTACTTTATCAAATATTATCTTTACTCATTTTCTTTATACTAATTAGAGAGTAAGGTAATTAATGAATTAAAATAACTGATATAAATGTTAATTTTTTGAAATAATCTAATTTTTTTGTTTTTTAAATTAAAGATTTTCATGCGTGCCCAATTTGATTACAATCCATGCGAAGACGAACTCATACCCTGTGCTCAAGCCGGCATCATCTTCAAAACGGGTGACATTTTGCAAGTGGTCAGTAAAGACGATCATAATTGGTGGCAAGCAAGAAAAGAAGGAACTGATTCGATGGCCGGTCTCATTCCTTCTCCGGAATTACAAGAATGGAGAATAGCTTGTCTAGAAATGAAAAGATCTGGTAACAATCAAGGTAAAGAATCATTAATGACTTCAAATTATTTTATAGTAATTTATATTCTAATGCCTAATAATAAAAATTGTACTTAAGCCAAAAAGTTTGGCAAAATAATCTTAAATAAAAATCTTTGAGCTATAATTATAATTTATAATTATAGCTCTTTGAAAGGCCTTTGTCAGGAACATTATGTTTCTGATGAAGGCCTTTCAAAATGGCCAAGAATGTTAGAAAATTGAATTAAAAGGCTGCATTATAAAGGTTTTGGTGTTGATGCTTGAATAGGAATACAATTTCAATATTTAGAATATTTGCATTAGGGTGCTGGGGAGGAGAAAATAAAATTTCAAAAAAGCATATAACGATTATATGAGCTATATCAATTATAAAAATAAGGTACCAATGAGCCTGTTACCAGTGTGCGTCTCTTACTAAATCAACTGTTACAAACATTTACAAACTCACAAGTTGTTCTTTTGGTAACACACAACTTCTGAACGAATGCGATCCAAATTAAATTGAATTGGAACACCAGCTGGAACTCAATTGCATGGATGTCAATAACGACATTTCGACATGCACCATATTATCTGTAGTAGTTTAACATAAGCTCATGTCCAAGAGCGCCTGTCAGGCTATAGATAGAGTGATTTCATCTTTATGGTTAATGCAATATCCGTTTTTAAGTGTAGCCATGCAGCTTGTCCAAGAGCTTACATTAAACTACTACAGATAATACGGCACATGCCCAAGTGATGTTATTGACATCCACGTGAGTGAGTTCCAGCTGGTGTTCCGATTCAATTTAATTTTAATCGCATTTGTTCAGAAGTTGTACGTTACCTGAAGAAGAACTTGCGAGTTCGAAAACATTTGTAATGGTTGATTTAGTAAGAGACGCACATTGGTAACAGGCTCATTGGTATGTTATTTTGATTTAATTTAGTGTAGTATATTTTATTATATCAATTATTGTCTCTGGACTGCTGAGCTGTAACAGTCAACAACATATGGGAGTGCTTGAGTCAGAGATCGATGCCTCGTTTACAAACAATACAACCCATTTACAAAAAAATATATTTTTGAAAGTATATATACATGATGAATCATTGTCATTCAGTCCCTTCACACACTGTTGAGGTGGTAACAATTCATGGCGGAGTCGACCTTTTATTGTAGGCTACTCGTCCACCATCCAATGAAAAAAAGTTAAAATAATCCTCTAGTGGTGGCACAATTATAAAATAAATAAGTACATTTTAAAAAATTGCAGAGACAAATTCACTTTTACAAAAAAATATATTTTTTTTGTAAAAGTAAATTCGTCCTGGCAATTTTTTAAAATATACAACATAAACAATATAAATATAATATAACAAAATACAATAACAATATAATATAACAAAATAAATAATATAAATATATTGTTTATTAGACAATTAACTTACAATAAAAGTGCTGTTGTCACAAAGGGTTGAAGTCCTTGTATGTATCCTTGTATATGAAAGAAGAGGAAAGTCCAGTGACGAAAGTGGTTTCTTATCGCTGATCAGATGTTGCATTCTAAGACCAGTTCTTGAACAGAAAATAATGTCCAGTGAATGCAGATCAGAATTTTTAAAGTTTCTATCAACAAAGATATATAACTTTCGAAGGATACATTGGCAAAGGACGAAGATGGAACCTTGCGGAAAGCACTCCAGCGAGGGACATAGCCTTGTAGGACACCACAGCAAAGAACGAAGTTAAATGGACTTAAATATCTTGTGGTCTCGCAAATCATTACTTTATTGGTTATTAATCTCCTTTCTTGGTCCCCTATTGGCCTTTCTCTGTTACCAGGTGAAATTGGAAATTGGACCAGATTGGTTTTTGAGAAAGACGATTCTTTATTAATGCAATTCAACATTGTCTTTTGTTTCATGTTGAATGAACATTGCACTTAACTAACATTTTTTTTTGTTTGTCTTGTCGTATAAAGAACTTAATTTACTAATTTTTCTCCTTTTTTACTGCGTGGTTTTAAATTTAAAATAATTTTATTTTTCTCTTTTTCCTTTACAATTTAGTTCCCTTAATTTTAATTAATCATGAAGATCAAGATTTGTTTTTGTTTGGAAATATGGTTAAAAGGATGTTTTTCCTCCCAGCCCAGGGCCTCACATTTGTTTGAATTTGGATACATTCAAAGCAGACACTTTTATTTCTCCATATTTTGTCTTATAAAGATGTTTGTCAAAATAAACTTAATCTTCATTTAGTTTCCTTAATCCCAAAATCTTTCATTTATATGTAATTTAGAATTTCATTTTAATTAAAATTATTTTACTCTTTTGCAGTGAATTGCTCAATGTTTAGTCGAAAAAAGAAACACTTTCGAGATAAGTACTCAGTGAAACACAATGCCGTATTTGATCAGTTAAATTTAGTTACTTATGAAGAAGTGGTAAAATTACCATCTTTCAAAAGGAAATCTCTAGTTTTACTTGGTAAGAAAATGTTATATGCTATTTAATTAATACAAGTGATCTTTAAGAATTATATTAAGTAGATTTTTCTGTAATTTAAATAATTAAAAAGTAAACAAAATATACAGATTGTTTCATATATCTTGACTGGGTAATGTGCAGTACTGTATTACTGTATTGAGGCTCTGGAAGTTTTATGAAGTTTGAGAACTTCTTTTTGGCAATATGTAGTAACCCTGTCACAGATTTGTCAAACAATCTATTCTCTTTGCTAAGTAAATAGACTAGTGTCGGCTAATATGAGTTTATACAACCCAGTTGAATTTGTGAAACAAGCTGTACTTAGTTTAGTGCAACATAAATGCATTTACAAATCAAAGATCTTTGTCCTTTTAGATACAACTTCTAAAATGAAATGTTTCTTCCAAGTTGTTTTGGTTACTTTTTAAATATTATTGATGTAAAATATAAATCAAACTGTTGATACAGGTATGCACTGCTTAATAATGATTACATATGTGATGCAGGTCCCATAAGATTATAATGGAGCTGAAAAATTTGTAACCACCTGCACCTTTTCTGCATTTAGATACCTAAATATAATAGAACTCCAATTATCCAAACACTGATTAAGCAAATGTCCAATTATGCAAATCACCACTTGACCTCCTTTCCCTCTCCCACTGACGTCGCACTGCAATTATCTTATGTCATGCAACTGAATAATTAGTTACACTTATTTGCTGTTACAGATCTAAATGATCAGTAGGATGCTACTTGTACATTGACAAATAAATAAATACAGTACATATACAATATTCTGCCATTAACCTGTAATTTCATTCTTTACATGCTAATCCACTTCTCCAATTTTTCGATTATCCGATTTACCTGCAGAATTAATCAATTCAGATAATCGGAGTTTTGCTATACTTTTTATTGTGTTACACATATCCTACATGAGTAGTAAGTATACTATAGCATATAGGTTTGTCTAAGTACTGTACATTCTATGATTGCTTAATTCTATGATATATTTATCAAATGTTTTCCCATCATTAAGCAGTGCCTACTTATAGAGGATTGACATTGAAAAATTATTAAAAATGAGTATAAATTTTAATCTGCTCCAATTTTTAATCAAACACAATGTAAATTAGCATGCTTGTTTTAAAAAAATAAGGGAGGAGAATTAAAACATGATTGAAAAGTTTTACTTTAATATAAGGAAATAAATCCTAAGTTATTGAGAAAAAGTTTTAAAATAATTAAAATATTGACGTGAGCATTTTTGAATTGTATAATAATAGAAAAATGGATAATCCAAAGTATATAAAATAATACCTCATGATATAAACAGAAAATTAGGTAGGTAGGCAGGATTATCTTCTTTTTAAATATCTTTCTATATATATATATAATACAGGGTGGTCCACTTATCATTTATAATGTTCCCAAGTTTTTAATTTCCATCCATCCCTCGTTAATCTTCAGAATGAAGTTAGATAGATGAAAATTTAGATCAGATATATGGAAAGCTTGGGTAGAGGTCTGATTAACTAAATATGAACTTTGGTCTGGATTGGAAGTCATGATTTTACTTTCCTGGCTGTTATAACAGAAGGAAAGTAAGGCTATCTCGCAAAAATGACCCTCTCCAGATTTAAAAATTTTTGAACTTAAGAAACTTTGAAATATTGAGAAATGCAACAAAGTTTGGAGGCAATTTCTGTATGTATGGATGTTAGTGTGTGTGTGTGGGAAGCATAATTTTGTTCACTTATATGAAGTTTTTCTCCTGTTCTTTTTTTGTCAAAAATTTCTGAAATTTTGCAGGTAGGTTTGTTTATTAGGGGGATTGATGCTATTAAATTTTGATGATTAAAGGTCAAGGAATGGGGAGATAAAGGGGGTTGTGTGTATTTCCAATATGGTAAGGTATACTGAATGACAATTTTACTCGTTATTAGCATTTACAATTTTTTATAAAATTTATCTCTACTCTGAAAATTAAGCTCTTTGCTATTTTATAATAGTTAAAAATATAAAAAGTTTTTTAATAAAATTTGATAACAGATGGCACCACCACAAATTTTAAATGTTGCTGGGAAAGTCGAGCAACTTGTTGCTGGTTCATTTTAAATTAAAAGATGATTAAAAATTGCAGACCCGCATTGTGACAATGTCACAATACATAAATGTTCATTAATTATTGTTGAAATGCATGATTATAATCATCAGTTTCTAATAAATCAATTGTTTTTAATAATTATATTTTAATTATTAAATTATATTTGTTTTCAATTGAAATAAATAAATGTCTTTATGTTGTTATTAACAACAACAATATATTTTTACATGGTAATCATTTTAAAGTTTTAGTTAGATAAAAGCAATTTTCTTTTGTTTTCAGGTGCTCATGGAGTTGGGAGACGACATATAAAAAACATGCTTATTAATAATCATCCTGAGAAATATGCATATCCACTTCCATGTAAGTTAATTTTATTCAGTTAGATACAGTTGGACTTCCATATTGCAAAGTTCTATGTTAGAAATTTCAATTATCATCAAATTTTTAATGGAATCTGATATAGTATTTAAATTGGATTAATTTTTTTCCTTTTGGCATTACAACTATTTACTTTAACCTGAGAATATCATTTATTAAATATAATGTTCCATCTGTCAATAACTTTCTGTGTCCGGCCATTTTATAAACATAAAAATATTAAACAATGCATACCTCTTAGCAGTGGAAATGATAATTTTTTCATTAAAATATGTACTTCCACACGGTGGAGATGGAAGTGTGGAAGTCATTTTATGAAGTGCCATAATCGAGGTTTCTTCGTCTCCTTTGCAGCACCAACGATATTTGTTGATCTAATACACATACATCATCTGTTACACATGCTGTTGCAACCAATAATAACCAAAAACAGCACATATGTTTTTTTACTTAAAATCTGTTCTAATTACAATATACAATAAAAAACCTCCATTAATGGACATACCTGAATAGCAGATACTTTTATTTAATGGACATTTTTACAATCCCCAGTCCCTTCAAATAGGATATCTATTATATTTACCTCTAAATAGTGGACACCATCTTCCACAACCAATCTTACGAAAACACAATGTCCTGCCTTCAATATTTCGAAAGAATTAATTATGTATGAAATATTTCAAAACGAAAACAAAGAATCAGTTCAAATACTCTTTTAGATGATGAATTTTGACCATAGACATAAAACTGGTGAAAGGCTGGCTTAAGAGAAACTGGGGACACATTCCTCAGTTTCTCTTAAATCTGCCTCAAGCCGTATTTATATTCTTTAAATCCTAGATATGCCACTGCTGTAGTCTATAACCTAATTTAAACTAACTAAATAATGCTGGAAAGATGTAGCTCTTCTACACCTGTATAAATGTATAAGTGCACAATCTATATATACAACTGATACAGAATAATTGACTGATTCTGGAATGAAAGACAATTGCCAACCTAAGCAAAATTTAGATATTTGTATGCCTAGAGTCATTAAAGCGCTGATTAATATCATGTGATAATGCACTAGATGTCAAACTACAAAATAAAAGTTTTGGATAATGATTCATACAGTCCAGAATTGTTTTTGAAATACAGAATTAATTGAAGTATTTAAGAAAGAATACAATTTCGTATCAAAAGCAAAGACAAGGGATTGATTTGGCGATTGGTTTCTGAAAATGATATGTATTGATTGTGATTCTTGAAAATCTTCAGAAAATAAATCTATAAAGCAATGCTTTTGGAAGGGTCTTTATAATAAATATCTTGCTTATTTATTAAGCACTACAAAAAGCCCAAAAATTTGCCTCAAAGACCATTGAATTTCCATCATTAAAGTGCTTGCCACCACAATGTTAGCATTCTATGCCAGTTATCCTGACTGTAGTGATATCGACCTACTCTTTCCCCCCAACTGCGGTCTTGTTGGCCCATATCCAATCTCTTTACGAGCAGTTGTGAAAGTAATAAACAAGGGGGAAAGGGAAAGGGTTGTAGAAAGGGAGAAAGTATAACTAAACAAGGGTAGACAAATAGTCATAGAAGAAAGGGGAGAAAAAAGTGGGAAAAACTGCAAGAGAGGAATGAGAGTGGAAGGAGGAGAGTCAGAGTAGAGGTGGGAGGATGGTAGAGTTAGTGAAGAGATGAGAAGTGGTGGAATTTGAAAGTGGGCAAGGAGAATAAGAAGAATCTCTTTAACTGCATAGGATTGAGTTTCTACTGTACATGATCAAGTGTGATTAAAGTTGGTTTTTGCTAAGATATTTGATTGTTTCAATTCAGTATGACAAACTGACAGGAGGAAATCCATGAATGCAGGCTGAATTCTCTACACTGGCATTGATGTGTATTTTGACCAAGCCGCTTATTATATCACACCTCCCACAAAGAACGGCTTAAATATTTGGAAATTTACAAATCAGCTAAAAAAATGCAATTATCGACTTCAAAGAGGTAGACTCCTTTCCTTTTGCACAGAAGATGTTCTATGATGCTTAGTTTTACAACTCTCTTTTCCCCCCTCTCCTACATCATCCACTTTAGCCTGTGGATGGTAATCATCAATACTAAGAAATTCTTAACAGCTGTGTTTGAACTTTGAAGGTCCTTTAGCCTGATGATGATCATTTAAAATGGGGGAAACATTTACTTTAGTAGATATTTACATTTTCTTGCTGGAGTTTTTACCTTAATGTAAAAATAATTTTTGGTGACTCTCTATTACTGTTTATTGTTATTGAGTTGGAATCCTTAAGAACCTGTATCTGTTCCACGAAAATAAATACTTTGTTCAACCATATACAGTGCATCAGTGGCGTACCGTAGTGGGGGCGGCAAGGGTGGCCCGCCCCAGGCGGCACTTTTTAGGGGGTGGCAAAATTTCACAATAAATAATAATAATATCTTGTAAAAATTTGAAACATCCTAATCTATACTTGCATTGCGCCTACGATAGTGCTATCGTCCGGACAGTCTGGGAATCGGCTCGCCGTCTGGGTGAACTAGTAATTTTTTCATACGAGAAAATCCTGCGAAACCTGTTGACCTTTTATTTTATTTTATTATATATTTTTTTTTTGCTTGTACGATTCATTTGCGTTCATATACACCACTAATATCCAATAGAACTATTTTAAACAGGTCGCTTCACTACCATCGAATTTTTCATTGCTTGTTCTGTGACAAAACTGAATTTTGGTCTTTTAAATTGAAATACCTAAATATTCCTCCGCACCGGGCGGCTGACACCCAGGGTACGCCACTGCAGTGCATGGTTCTTTACTCGGTATATTCACCTTCATTGGCTAACAATTATCTATGTACATTACATTATACTTTTTTATGCAGTTTTTAGGTTAAGTTTCCAAACTGATATCTAGCTTTTGTAATGTCACAACTAATCTACCTTTTGGATTGATTGATACTTTTCTATTGCCAAGAGTGAGCAGTTGTTGAGCAAAATGGCCGCAGATAAATCACTTTGTAAATGAACTTGTATGCTGGTTTTCAGTTCCAGCTTGCATGTGTCTTTAGAGAGACATGTGCAAGAGAAGTTTCCAAGTAAGCTTTAAATTTGTTGATCATTGTTCTTTTTGGATGGACAGTGTTTGATAAAATTGTATCACCTTACCCAAAAACTAAAAGCACCATACATACATCAGTCTGCTTTATACTAAGTATTTCTGTATGCAGAAAAAATTTAAAAAGAGGCACTTTGCAATGTCTAGGGTGAAATATAAAATTTACCTGAACAATGCTGGCTATCACCATTAATTTATTAAAGGAGTTAACATTTATTTTTTTTTAAGTATTATTACTAAATTAAAATTTTATATTTTAAAGATACTACAAGATATCCAAGAAAAGGAGAAGAAAATGGAAAGAACTATTGTTTTGTTACTCACGAAAAAATGATGGCAGATATATCTGCTAATGAATATCTGGAATATGGAACACACGAAGATGCAATGTACGGAACAAAGTTAGAATCCATTAAACAGATTCATGCAAATGGACAAATGGCTGTCCTCGACGTGGAACCTCGGGTAAGATTTTACTAAGTGTATATTTAAGTAATATATATACTGAGCATGTTTCCCAAAATCAATCATTAGGATATAATACTTATTATTGTTTGGTAGGTTTATTTATAAAAACTTTAGAAATATTAAAATTATTATCTAGAGGAAAACTTTCAATTACTTCATCTGATAAAATGCTCACTTTGGATACATTTCAATGTGCATCAAACAGCATATTGGTGAATTGAGATGCACTAAAATGTGTTCAGATATTTATTGATCAGTGAGCGATCACTGCACCAATCATTGATGCATTGAGGCACATTGCACTTGTCCGGCCACAGATATGGCAGGTTCCAACAAAGCAATATAACATGATCATATCATTAACATCATTTTTACTACTCATTCGTATTAACCCAAAGTTATTTTGACGAAATAAGTCTGCAAATGCCAACGTTGCACTGTTTGTTTCCGCTATCTAATCAGGTTGCCATACTGTTAAAGATTATTAAACCGTTCACCAGTGCATCAATTGTGACCGAGACTGATGCACACAGGAATGTACCTTTTACCTCAGAGTGATATTATTTTACACTTTTAAAAATTTATTGTTTACTAAAATTAAAGGATATAATCACATACAGGATGGAAGATAAAATGTTATTCTTATACATAATTATAAAATTAAGCAGGACAATATCTATAAAAGGAGATTAAAAAATATATGTATCAATAGTTTATTCTCCTTAATGAGAAGTATATTTTAATAAATGCAGCTTTTATTAATTATGTTAGTTCTAAGTACATCAATATTCAAACACAAAAATAATAGTCAACAATAAAAACAGAAATGTATGTTTTAGATTTAGGCAAAGAGGATATTCAGTCATACAAAATAATTATGGTATGGTAATAACATATATAATAACTTGACACATTTGTACTATCAAACAATCCGCTGGATTTTGTATTGGGCTTTATTAAGGCTAATTAATAATCGGATAAGAAGTGATTTGGCTAGAGGTAGATTGTTCAGTACAACTGTTAATAAATGTAAGAAAGTTCACCTAAGTAATTATTAAAAACACATGAATTTAAATGCAGACTCTATCATAATTATAAGTGGATAGGAAGTATGAATAAATGCTGGCATAAGAGAGAGATTATAGTATTTTGTGAATATTTTATTCCTAACTACTTGTATGAACCAGTTAATGTGAGAATTAGTCAATAAGAAAAAGACAATTATAATAACATGACATGATTATTTTTGTTTTATTATCATTTTTACACATTTGAGTAACTGAACATATTTATAAACTATTTAAATGTCATTTGATTGAAAGTATATAATTTGATTGTATGCATCAAAACTAAACTGAGAGTTTGCATTCTGACAGTTGCATTTCACATTCTTTCTGACGAACAACCCTTCANTATTATCATTTTTACACATTTGAGTAACTGAACATATTTATAAACTATTTAAATGTCATTTGATTGAAAGTATATAATTTGATTGTATGCATCAAAACTAAACTGAGAGTTTGCATTCTGACAGTTGCATTTCACATTCTTTCTGACGAACAACCCTTCATATTTATATTCCTCGTAGCAGCTCTTATTCTGAATTTGTATTGTGGTCTGATTTACAGTTACTTCTTTACAGTAGTAAATAAAATACTTAACTGCAGTCTGCTAACTAAATGTTTGTCCAAATGTTTGATTTATGAACAGAATTAAACAAAACATAAAAAATGTATAATTTTCTCTGTAGTGCATTGTATGTTTCTGTTTTACACATTATTATAAACTTTCACTTGAATGTTTAGTTTCATAAGCATAGTAAGAAATATTTAATATGTTTTAAAAAAATGTATATGGTGTATTTAATACCAAGTTGTTAATGTAAATATTAAATATTTCAACTGATAATACTAGTTTTTTATGATATAATAAAATAATGTTTACTCATAGTTATGACTTAAAACAAGTATCAAATTAAATACATATTTTTTTTTATATTTCCCAATTGGAAATATGTATTAATATAATTCATCATTTTTCAAGTTTTTTCTTTAACATTCTTAGAGTGGTGTTATTTAAACAGTGGTCTGCAGACAGTTTATTATCAAACTACAATGAGATTTCACTTAAAATTTCATAACGTTATACATTAAAGAACAGTTTAAAAGTAATTTTGTTAATGCAAAGTTCTTTAAAAACGTATCATTTTATTACTTTCATTTTTATTTATTATTTAAACACTTAGTGTCAAGGGAAATAAACTTGAAAATGACCCACAAACCCATTTTTTCAAGATGATTAAAACCAAATTTTGTTTCTTACTATAGTCTGTCNAAACAGTGGTCTGCAGACACGTTTATTACCAAACTACAATGAGATTTCACTTAAAATTTCATAACATTATACATTAAAGTACAGTTTAAAAGTAATTTTGTTAATGCAAAGTTCTTTAAAAACGTATCATTTTATTACTTTCATTTTTATTTATTATTTAAACACTTAGTGTCAAGGGAAATAAACTTGAAAATGACCCACAAACCCATTTTTTCAAGATGATTAAAACCAAATTTTGTTTCTTACTATAGTCTGTCTATGGAAATAATTGACTTCAGAGCAACATCACGCATGATGTCACTTCAGTTAAACAAATCGGCACATTCTTTAATGATGTTGGCACTTTTTGCTTAATGTGAATTTTATTTTATTTTTTCTCACTAGATGGCAGAATTTCCATTAATTGTTTTCATTTTTTTTATGGCATGTATTAACAGCTACTATAGCAAACTTCCTTGTATTTCAATACTGGAATGTGAAGCTCGTTTATAATTGACGTCGTTTATAATGACGGTGACGTGTTTAACAAATGATGAAGAAACTGGAAGTAACTTGTCACAACTAAGTGATAGATTATTTCATGTATTCCTTGAAATCTTAACGGTTGAAATCCATAAAGAAGATGCATAACTACAAACATGCATACAAAGATTTAGTGTAGTCAATGTAGTGTTTTTCTATAGACCTGGCTAAAGAAAAGTACTTTGTCATGAAAAAACATATGATGTACTGTATGTATTTTATATAATTTCCTATTTTAATCTTTCACTAAATTACAGTTAGCTCTCTGTAAGTGAAAATATTCATTCTTGCTCCCAGATTCTTTGTTTTAACAGTGATTTGTTCTGTATTTATTTTTTTGACAAGGTTTACATGTACCTGGTACTTGTTAGCTTAAGACTATTATAAATAATAGTTTTACCGTTTTTTTTTTTCTTTTTTCTAACCTGCAGTGCTAAAGAGGGCCTTTTTTTAAGTCATTCCCATCTTGGGTATGGCCAGGCCCACAGTGGGGTGGCCAGGTAGTGAGGGATGGGGCTTGATGCATCCGAGATGGATAGTTCAAACAAAAAAAATTCTGGGCATTTTGACCATCAGGATCTGATCACGGGTCCCTGAAAGATAGACCAATGCCTTACTGTGGCCATTGGTTATACTTATTGGATTGCATAGCACACTCACTTGTTTCCTACACAATTCAAATTCCTTTTATTATAAAATATTTCTAATAATATTTTGTTTAGAAATTTCTTTATTGTTTCGATCATTTGTAAATATTAATTTATACCATTCTTAGTGCCTTCGCAGTATTAGTGATAAAAATTACATTTTGAAAAGTATTTGTAATATCCCATCTAACATCTATAACTTTGTTATCTCGTACATATATAACTTACTTCTAGCTTACTGCTTAAAGAAATTGTTAAATTACTTTAAAAATTCTGTTATTGCTTTTATAAAACATAAAATTGATCATTTTAATATTTGATTTTTATTTGGTATGGACTGCTACTGAAATATTTAGTTATTCAGTAGCAGTCCAGAAACAAAACCATTTGAAATTGGAATTTAAAAAAAAAAATTAAAAGTTATGAGAAGGATTAAATATTTGAAAGTATTCACAAGTATCTTTTCATTAAGATTGGGCTATCAGAAAACATATTGAAAAGCCTGTCAGTCCATACTTAAATTTTGATCTATTTATTAATTTAAAATGATCCAAAACATTTATTTTTCAATAATGTTTGACATCTATAAATCAATTTTATAAAATATGTTTAATCTCATCTTTATTTTAATACATTCATTTGTTGCAAATTTATGTAGTAATAATTTGCTATCACTTAAAAATTACAATTCATTTTGAGAAAATGTTGAACATCACTATCTCTCTAATCATATATAATATAGGGTCTTACAAAAAGAATGTTACCATTTTAAATTATTGTAATTATATTAATTGTTATCTAAGAATGTCGTAACGTACATTAAATAAATATTGGAAAACAAGTTTTACATTTGCCAATTACAATTTCTCGATACATGCACCTTGTCACACGACACACATCCAATTGATACTCATTCTTTTTACATTTATTAAGGTGTATTTATTGTCACTCGTTCTGTAACTCCTGCAGTTTGCTCAATGACAAGTGATTCTAATGTTGCAAGCTATAGAACAGGGAATGCTTTTCCTGTTGAAATTGCCAGTTTTGTTTACAATGCATTCTAGAGGTAGTAGATGACAAGACATTTGAATGGAGATGAAACTCTGACAGATACTCTATCAATTGATGTACATCACATACTTCGTAGATAATAATTAACATAATTACAGTAATTTAAAATGGTAGCATTCATTTCAGAAGATCCTTTATATGAATGAGCAATTTCTTTTGTTATCGTTTCTTATACTTGTAGTAAATTTCAATTTTGGAGGTTCCTTTGCTAATCTTATTAAATCTTGTAATGCATTAAATATATAAGATAACGCTGAGAATTAACATTCTAAGAAATGCTACTTAAAAGCCCATTTCTTATATTTTTCTGGATTTCTGTAAAATTGGCCACTGTACAGATCAGTTTTGATGTGCCAGATGTAGACATGTGCTTAGAGAAAAATGATGAAATTTATGAAGATTGCCAAAGTATGTAAGAAAGTAGCAGTGAAACTTAGCTAATGGAGTAAAATATGTTTACATAATATATTTTACAATTGTAATGCAGTAGAAAAAAATAGAATAGATCTAAGATTAAGGTTGAATAATTTTAATTGAAATATTGATTATTCACGTATGAATTATCAATATTTGAATTACAAATCTACATACATAACAACAAATCTGATTAATAATTAGATATAAAAGTAATTTGACCAGAGGTAGGCAGTTAGGCTGGCCATCTTGTGGTAAATTTAACAATTAGAAATAAATTTACCATAAGATGGCAGCCTAACTCCTTACTTCTAGTCAAATTACTTTGTTCTAATCATTAAACTAGCCTTAATATAGCCCAACAAATCCAGCAGATTGTTTTGCATTTGACAGAATTATCTACAAAATATAATGATATTCTCCAACCTATAATAAAGTGCTCTATTATTATTAAATAAAATAATATAAATGATTCATTTGAAGTAATAATGAAATACACTACTTTCATTATAGTTTCAAAAATTAATTTAAAAACTTTTATTTAAATTAAATAAAATCTGATAGTGATGTAACAATAAACAAGCAAGGATGACACTAAATATACAAATTTTGAACATTTTAAATTTCAAGTTTTTCATAAACTATTGAATAATAAGTAAAATTTTGCTTCCCTCTTAGCCAAGTCTAACAAAGAAAAACTGTTAAACTGAATATTCTTTTGAGAGTCTCCACTATTAAGACCCTTGAAAAAATATTAATCCTTGTTGTCATCAAAGAAAATAATGATCGAAAACAACAATCAGTTTTTTAATATTCTTTATAAAAACTTGTTTTCATTCACCAAAAGCTGACATTTAACTTTATGATCGAGCAGAACATCAGAATTAAAAATTTTCGCAGAATTTAGCAGTCTTTAAATCAGTGGCCTGGTGTAAATCATATCCAGAAATTTTCAAATATTCCGTCAGAAATTATATATGGCTTCTTACCGATTATATGAAATTCTTTATTTTCATAATTTTTCTTCTGTTTCATTCAAATTTTCGTCTTATATCTTCACACGTTACAGTAGATTTAATGATGATGGTCCGGCATCAATTTGTATCATCCACAGATTTTCAAAAAATAATCATTATCTTGACAAAAAAATAATTCGACAACTCAAGTTTAGTTAGGTTATATTAATATTCAATGGAGCAATAGAACTTATTTATAGATTTGAAAATCCATTATAATCATAATAATTTTTAAAATTAAATTATTATTCTCTATGATTTTTAATAACAAAGCTATTATTCTTTTTATGTTTAGGCATTAAAGATACTCCGTACGGCGGAATACGCCCCTTATGTGGTGTTTATAGATGCTCCTTCTTTAACCAATGTTGAAGATGTAAGTTGCAAAATTTTGTTATAGCAATTCTAATAACTGTTCCACATGCAAATGCAATTTAAAAAAAACAGTAACAGAGTTATTACAGATTAATCATCAGGTTTTAAAACCCCATTACTTTCAAAGTATTGAGGTGGGTTGTCTGTAACAGATACAAAACAAAAAAGAAATGCTCCAAATTTGAAACATGTGCATAAAGACATTTTTATGGCAGCACAAAGGTGATTATGGATCAAAAGGTATTTTGTGTTTTGGAATATGGGAAGTACTCATTCCTAGGCACCATACAGCATGCATTCCAACAATATCTGAATACAGAACTTTGATATTACTGGATTTGGCATTGTAATAACAGTGACAGCACTGTACAGTTAGCTTCTTAATCTCCAGACCATGATTTTTTTCTATGAGAGTATGTAAAGGACACAGTTTACATGCCTTCATCACCCACGTCTTTGGCAGAGCTCCAGGATGCATTACTGCTGCAATGATGATCATCCAGGGAATTGCTGCAACGTATAGGGCAAACTGGACTACTGCTTGGACACACATTGTGTTATTAAAGGAACACACAGAACATCTGTAGTTCTACGACACAAGCCTAGACAGTTTCTAGTTTTTTTGATATATCGCCTATTGTTAAATCTGAATTATACTGAATTACTGTCAAATTACAGTTGCTTGAAAACCTATGATTCATTTGTAATAACTCTGTATATAAACATATTTATAAAATAACTTTGAATTGACCAAATAATGTAGATGATTAAAAAGCATCTTAGGTGATTTAAATTTTAATATGATAATCCCTTTCAATTTTACAATTAAATAATATGAGAAAGGAAAGTGAAACATGCAGTCTTTACACTAATGTGCATTTATAAAACATTACTTGTAGCAAGTAAACCTCCAATGTGATGCTTAATTGTATATGTTTTAGTAAAGTTGAAGTTCATAATATATTACTTTGGGATCTTCAATAGAATATTCAAATGTTGTCTGCTATCATCCAAAGTTATTTAAAGGACATGGCAACATGGTAGATAAAACAGGCATGCAGATTCCCTTTTTATTATTATTTTTAGTAACACAAAGGGAATCTACACATCTATAAAACAACATTTTGGATGCAATTAACCCACTGACTTCTGAAATGAACATTTGCTCTCAGAAAATACATATTCTCGAGTGGAATCTTTTGAGAAGGAAAGATCACATTTTTCAAAGACTGCATGCCACTGCCAATTGATTGATGTATTCTTTATTAGGGATAAGGTGACAAGGCCACTTTCTGAAGTAAAAGGTAAAGTGAAAGGGATAGCAAAATAAATGATTAAAATTTTTATTTTTATAATGTCTGCTTGGACCTTATTACACTGGTGTAGTTTTTGATTAACAAAGAGAGGAAGTCTTTAGTCAAAAGGTAAAACAGAGTATCTTTATTTTCACCTGTACATTCTTTTTATCCTGTAGGCTCCTCTTCAGTAAGTTTAAACATTCTATAACAATTGTATAAAAACTTTTAAACAATGATATTATACCCAACAATATCTGATATAAGTTAACAATTACATTTCTTTTACTGTCCAATATTAATACAACACCAATACCAACATAAAGCATCTAAAAACAGAGCATAACATCATTGTCATAATGTTTTCTATTTTACTCCTGTATAAAATAATAAAACTATTAAAAAATTAAGGGTAATGTTGTAGTTTACATTTGTAAAATAAAAATGTTTTTCATAATATTTGAATGGTATGTCAATTATTGGGTCCTTTTAAAATCATCATTATTTTTGGTAAAATTTTTAAAAAATTATTAAAGTATTATGAACATAGTTTTAGTAAAAAGAGCTATAAATAATAACGAATTATTGTATAATTATAATGTACTGTATTGTAATTCTGTATAATAATTTAATGTACAGGGCCATTCATAAATGATGTCCACACTGGGAGGGAGATTAAGCCAAGTCATACAAAAGTACAGTTGCACAGTACTTATACAATTATTATAGAATGTTATAAACCTCGAAGAGGGTCCTACAGAGTTTTGTTAAGTTATGGCAATGCAACACCTGGGTGATCTGCCTAGGGAGATACCTTCCGGGAGGTCGTTTTAAGGATAATGGACCCCTATTCAGGTGTTACAGATGTGGAGAAAACTCCATGTGGCCTGCCCATCCTGACAAGGAGCAAACCCATAACCAAACTCCCAATGCTCAGGGAATGAAACTACTTGGCTCCTGGTGGGCTAAGAGGACTACAGGGTAAAAGCAGTGTACAGGTGAAAATAAAGATACTTTGTTTTACCTTTCCACTAAGGCTTCCTCTCTTTGCTAATCAGAAACTACACCAGTTTAATAAGTCCTGTTTATAAATAAGGTGCAAGTGGACAATATAAAAACAAAAAAGTAAAACTTAATGTTTTACTTTTTTGTTTTTATATTGTTATATTAAGGACATAGAGGTAAAAAAATTAATGAGTGATTAAAATATTCAGAAAAGAGAAAAGGAAGAGGAAAAATAATAAACCAAATACAGTACAGTTGTTTATAAATAGATCATACAAGAATGCAGCACTAGAGAGGCAAATGAAAGTAGAAGTGGCAAGAGTTTTGCCTCAGGCAGAAACACCATTCTCGACAGAAATTACAATCATTCCAAACACTTTATATTTTAACCTTATAATTCGTTTGAAATTCATACTTTTTGAACTATTCGTATTTGGGTGTATCACGATACAGAATTAATTTATTTGCAGACGGACGGAAGTCTTCAGCGGTTGGCAATAGAGAGCGATATTCTAAAACAGGCGTACCGACATTTCTTCGACCTGATCATCGTCAATAACGATATCGAAGAAACGATACTGACGCTGGAAAAGGCGTTAGACAACACCAACAACACACAGCAGTGGGTACCCGTCAATTGGGTGTATTGATCTCTCCTCCAAACGTTTTCTTACCGGCACCTTTAATGCGGATATACCAGTATACCCCCCCTATAACACTGTAGATAAGTCCGTGTTATATGAATTCCATGTTGTACGAGTCACTTAGATTTTACAAATACGTGAGCCGTTCACAGCCCAGCACACGTATTTGTAAAATCTAAGTGACTCGTACAAGATGGAATTCATATAACACGGAATTATCTAGTGTTATAGGGGGGTCTACTGGTACTGTATCTAACGTTGATCGATTCGTATATATTTCGATTGCAGTGTTTTATCTTTATAAAAGAAAAGAAGCAAAAATGTTATTCATATTTGTGTAATAAAAATTGTTAAATTTTGAAAGAAATATCATGGATTTTGTTATTATAAACATTACACTTTTCTGTTTATTCTATACCGAAGCAGCACACGTTTAATGGGTTCGAGTGCAATATTTTGTTTACNAAGAAAAGAAGCAAAAATGTTATTCATATTTGTGTAATAAAAATTGTTAAATTTTGAAAGAAATATCATGGATTTTGTTATTATAAACATTACACTTTTCTGTTTATTCTATACCGAAGCAGCACACGTTTAATGGGTTCGAGTGCAATATTTTGTTTACCCATTCTATAAATTTTATAAAACTCGCAAAAACGGTGAAAAAATAGTATTAAATAGACGATAATTTTATTCCATTCGATCGATTCCTTCTCGATAATTGTTTCCGTTGTTACCGAGTTTTGTTGACGTGTCTGTTGTTTATCTCTCGTTAATGTAATAATTTTTTTTTCATTTCGTTTCCCACGTATTTGTAATTTCGGAGAAATATTTTATTAAAAGTTTAAATAAAAACTTCTAGTTTCGAATAAGTCGAGCAAATCTTTTCTAAATTAAAATGTTAGACCAACAACGGGTTGCTCAACTTTCCCGGCAACGTTTAAAATTTTGGTGGCGCTATCTGCTATCATATTTTATTTAAAACACTTTATATTTTTAATTATTATAAAATGACAAAGAGCTTAATTTTCAGGTTAAGGATGGATTTTATAAAAACTTGTAAGTGCTAATAACGAGTAAAATAGAAGTTTTGAAGGCTGTGTCTCCCGGCCTAAAAGTCTATCTTAGTGTCCACAAAGAGAGAGTCAAAATTATGGATCAGACTCGTTCGCAATCGGCATAATTGTGGCATACGGGCTACCTTATTATCTCACATTCACTAAAGCATTGGTAAATATTATTTGCAGAAGACAAGTTGTGAAGAAATGTAAAATTACGTTTCCGACTATTAATTTAATTAAAAATACAAAACAAGAAAGAGGGATTTGGCTCTAAAGTGTAATACTACTAACGAAGCGTTATATCGAGGTTTGACAGTACATACACATATTTACACAAATTGTTTTGTTTTGATGAGATAAGACAGCTTAACACGTGGACAATCTGTCAATGGTAAGATTTCCGTGAAGAACTTTTCATAGGAAATATTCCCTTATTTAAGTGCCAGACATTAAAAATTTGGAAAATTCCATGTAGACACCATATAAATCTGTTGCCCCACAACTTTAACCTAATGTAACCTGAAACCAACATGGAGTTAAGGAAAAAATAAACACATTGCCTTCCACCTTTACATTATTTATATCTTATTTTAAAAATTCTACATGTATGTTGCATTTGGAACTAAACACCATTGTCAAACTTCTAGGTTTACAGGAAAGCGGTGCTGAACGTCCGACTTACACGTTTTCGCGTTTAAAACTTCGGCCTTAACCTCGCTATTTTTTCGAGAATTGTAACATTTCTTTATTAAATAAACTAGCACGAGTTGCTCAACTTTCCCAGTAACATTTAAGTCCTCACACCTTCGACGTTAATTCAACAAAATTTAATAGCATCTCCCTACAAAGTGTCAGAAATATATAACAAAAACACAGGAGCTATTAAGTTTCAAAAAAGGGGTGAACAAAATTGTGCATCCCACACTTACACATTAACATCCATACTTACAAAATAAACCCTGAACTTTTCTTTTTGCATTTCCCGACGTTGCAAGGTCCACTGAGTTCAAAAATGTCAACATCTGGGGATTCTTTTTTACATTGACATTCCCACAGTGGGGTTGGGGAAGAACGGGGAACGACGCCCAGAATGGATCACCCCTGAAAAATTCCCGATGTTTGTCAACAATCCGGATTCGATTTCAGAAAACCTGAGCAGCGAGCCTCCATATTAACAGCTCGACCATTCGGCCATTAGTTTTACATCTGTTGTAATGACGATGTGAAATTGCCGAATCGCGCTAAAATCTTAGAATGACGGAGTAGATCCGGATCGTATGTGGGAGCGAATTATCCAGAGACAAACTTCACAGTTACATAATTATGGTCCCGATTTATTGTTACAAAAGAATGCTTACAATATCAAAGATCTACCGTTGTTGGGTGAAATAAAATTTCTTGGATCCTCTCTTTTCCGTGGAAGGTGCCTGTCCCTCAGGTGATAATCTCCTGAAGTCTGCTCGGAAGTAGATTGCCCCGGGGCGTTGTTGAGAGTTAAATACGAGAACTACTCTCTTTTTTCTTGTTAGATCGAACATTTCTTTATACGGATACGAAATTTCCACGTTTTTATACCAACAATCTTACGTAATCATTTTATAAAATTCTTTTAAAAGTTTGCGTTGTTCCGAGTGTTTTCGGGTCCTTACAAGGATATCATGAAAACTTCAAAAACACCTCATAATTGAGAAATTTATGCCATACGTCTTGTATTAGGGCCGACATCGTAGGATTTCTATGTATTTTACGCAGAAAATTGTAACTAATGGAATTGAAAATTCAGATTCATTTCAGATTGCTAAAAGAAAGATAACGAAAAAGTTTTTATTTTATCAAAAACATATCGGATATTTTTTATTCATCTAAAACAATAATTAAATTGTTGTATTTTGAATATGTTAATGACCAATTTATTATTTTAATATTCAGCTTCCACGATAAACTTTACAATAGGTCTGACAAAATCCGGATACCTATTAACAATAAATACCGATCTATATTAAGTTATGCGTGTCATTGACACTTCCATAATTAAAATATAATATTTTATTTTTCAAAAATATAAATTTTGTACGAATTAAAAGACTAAACGCCGATCGACGTCATTCGTGACGTCATTACAACAATGCAATATTTTAACAATTGTTAACAGATCAACAATGAAATTAAATCATTGTTGAAATCGTCCTTATCAAATCGTTCTTCAAAATTTTCCATTGATAAAAATCAATGTTTTTTTGAAAAGTTTAGAATAAAAAATAAGAAGAAATAAAGAAAGAAAACGAAAACTCACAACAGAATTGAGGAATTCGAAAAATTCCAATGAAAACAAATTTCCGAGGATTTCGAAAATGGCAGCAGCAAAATATGAACACAGTTACTACAAACTTGGCAAATTCGAGAAACATCACAACACAATTAATAACGTGAGTCATTTTATAATACTTTATACCAGGGGTGGCCAACCTGCGGCTCTCGAGCCACATGCGGCTCTTTGAAGGATTATTTGTGGCTCTCGATAAATGTACCCGAGTTCCCTTTTCATTTTTGTGTTATTATATTTTAAAAAATTATTATCGTTCCGTATGTGTTTCAAAATGTCTTTTAAATTACTAACAACAAATATGAAAGACTAAGTGCAACGTTGTAACAAATTTCATTTCCGTCCAAGTTAAGAATGATATGACTCATCGAAAACTGCGCGAACGAACATAAACAGTGGCGTAATCGTCCGTTATCGACCGACTCCAGACCGATTTTGAATTTGTAAACTGTCATTGCAACGGACAGTTGACATTGTGCTCTGGAGGAAACAATTTGTATCACTCTTGCTACGGATATAATTTGTATTCTGGAATTTTTTGCATACCTTTTTAATACGTATTTAATTGCGGCTCGCGAAAAATTTCAAATTTTGAAAAATGGCTCGGACTATCAAGGAGCTTGGCTACCCTGGCTTTATACTTTAAACAGAGTAATATCGCTATCGGTGTCGGAGCTTTAATATCGACCCTCGCTCCGCTGAACGGGGCGATGTTCTGACGGGAGTCGGGACGCTATATCGTCTCTCGCTGCAACAGAAAGGGGAGATATGATTTAGGTAGGTGTTTTACAGTGGATAAATAAAACTGGATGATATAAATGGTCGTACAAATGCTAAAAATTATCAAGACATGATCGGAGCATACTATTTCCAACCGTATAGCAAAAAAACTTCGTTTATCAGCAAGAGAAAACGGGTTGTCATGCAGCCATAAGAAAGAAAGAAGTTTTCAGTCGGTATAACATTACTATATTTTGTAGCTAGTGTACTTGTTTACACGATGTGATTTCCTTAGAAAATATATGGTGATATGGAATGTCTATTTATGCTAACAGTGAACTTGTCTAATACAGTTGCAGATCTTTGTGCAGCTAATTTTGTGTTTCTTTTAGTGTTTTTAAGCCAAAGAGAAAGGAAAAAATTCTGTGTAAGCATTATTTATAACCATTTTACAAAGGTTTTTATATGGGCTAGTTACAAAGAAAATCTTGCCCGAAAGCATCCAATTTTACAGATGTTTTCGTGCATTGTCTTATTCAAATGTTTTCTAGTTTTCTTTGGATTTGCGACACGGTTTGAA